CCCTTGTACACGGTGCTATGCTGATACTGTCCCCATTCCATATGGAGTGACCAGGTGCACCCCAGCCTTATGGGCTATGCGTGCCTCCTACCTCCCCTTTAGCACGCCCCAAGCCTTGCAGCTCTTCCGGATGTTATCTGGTCCCTTTCCTTTCTGTGCCCTGCCAGGCGCCCTTGGGCTTGTCACGCAACCGGCGCCCCTTCTCTAGCGCCTCTGGGCTTGTCACGCAACCGGCGCCCCTCTAGTCGTTAGCCCGCTCGGGCTTACTAATAGTACTTGTCCCTAGTGGGCTCATGCGGCCTGAGCCTTACCTGGCCCCTTTGACCCTTTGGGGTTCCCACTACGGTGGAGCCCCTCTGGGACTCTTGTCAGATCACACCCCCTCCTGGGGTTTCTGTCAATAATACGCGCCCACTCTGGGGCTTCTTTCAATACGTGCCCTCACCGGGGCTTCTCTCTATACCCGCCCCCTCGTGGGGCTTCCCTTAAATATGTGCCTGCCCCTGGGGCTCCTCTCTGCCCTCTCTGGGCTCTCTCTAATCGCAGACTCACCCTTTCCGGGCTCGTCTCTCTAGTAGCACCCACCCTGGGCTTCACTTCCTGTGGCCCCCCTTTGGGGCCTAACGCACCCCTGCGGGTTTCTCACTAGTGCTTCTTGCAAGTGGGGCTCAGGTGGCCTCAGCCGTGCCTGGCCCTGAAAGCCTCTTTGCCCTTCTCAGGGCCAGAGTCTTACACCCCCAAACTATGGTGCCCTCACCGGGGCCTCTCGCTCTGTTCGCCCCTTCTTGGGGCTGGGATGCAGACCGCCGCAATGTAGCACCACACTCCGGCGCTGGGAGCACCCCATCTCTCTGGGGAGCTCCTACTGAGGCCTCCTCCACCCCTACAGCCTTGCCCAGTCCTCCGGTCTAACAATAACTCAACAGAACCATAAGCCCATTAGCTGTAACACAACAATAAGCCTTCTGGCTATAACACCAAGTCTGGACCCAACCTGGCTTTCCTGCAAAACGTCCCGGTCAGGGTTCTCTCCACCCATGCCATGGTGCAGCCACTCGGGCGATCGGGCGGCTCGGCTCGGCTCTGCTCTGCTGCAGAGCTGCTGCTCTTCAGACTGCTAGAGGTGAACTGCTAACTAGGCTTCGGCCTGGGCTGCTTATAAAGGCCAGGCCCTGCCCCCTTCTGGTCATGTGACCAGACTAGTTGCCCTGGCAACTAGCACCTGGGCTGCCTTACAGAGTTTCAGCTGCCCTCCTTCCCTCATAGGAACAGGGTACGTGTGTGACCCTGTGACACTAATGCACATTAAATTTAGTATTAAAAATAGGCTACTGTGCATTAAAGCGCAGGTTTAGATGTGTCCATTGAGTTCCAAATTACTGGAAGGATGTGTTTCTGCTACTTGAGGGTTTGGAGTCCCTGGCTTTGTAAAACTGATGTGTTTGTTCTGTGTGATCCAGAAGATCTCTGTAATGCTTGATTTATTACAATTTAAGATGCTTTAAATCCATCTTTCCCCCCCAAGTTTTACATAAACTTTGAGAATAACTTTAGTTTAAGGAAATTAGGTTATGCTACTTAACATGTAGAAAAACCAGATTCTCTTAGTTTTGTAAGCTTTGTGTATTTTCACTAACAAAGGTCTGATTTCTTTTGACCAGGGGAAGACTATCAGAGAATTGAATTTGGTGTTAATGAAGTTATTAAGACAGAGTCATCTGTGCTGAATAACACCGACTACAGTATTTCAAGCACTCTGAATCCTCAGGCTCCAGAATTTATTCTTGGTTGTGCGCCTACCCAAAAAACTTCCGATGACATCCTTGATGAAACTAACTACAACTCCATTGACTGCCAGTTTAGTGATCCTGCCCTTGCTTTGGATAGCAGTTCCAATGCTGAAAACGATGGGTTATCAGGGGGCCTTGGCCAAAGGGAGCGTAAAAAAAAGAAGAAAAGACCCCCTGGATACTACAGTTACTTGGAAGATGTCAGTGATGGCATGGTTCCCACAGAGGCTCTTGTCAACGGCCATGCAAATTCTTCAGGACTGAATAATATAAGCACAGAGGATACAGAACTTACAGGAGACATAGCATCATCAGTCACGCCAAGGACTTGTAACAGCCCAGAAAATTCTGTGGACTTCATTAGTGAAGCTGTGTCTGATGATTCTGTTTCTAGTGCACTAGATAATACCAGGACTGCAGGGCAGCCTGAGGTATACAGTGTTACTAATTCTGAACAGTTTTGCATCCCCTCAGAGACTGGCAGGGATAGCCCTTTAAGGACAGCTGTTGTACAGCCTTTTGCTGGTACTGATACTACTGAGAGTCTTGGTGTTACTAATGGACAAACACTTGAATCCTCTGGTGAGGGTACAGCTGCCAATGGTGTAGAATTGCACACTGTGGAAAGCACTGACTCAGACCAAGCTAAGCCTGAGGATGCTTCACCTACTACTGAGGCACCAGCCCCGGTTGCAGGATCTGCCCCTGTTAATCAGCCTACAAAATCGTGGGCTAGTCTTTTCCACAATTCCAAGCCCTCTGCTTCCACATCTATGGCCTATGTTGAGACTAAATATACCCCTCCTGCCACTTCTCCTGTGGTCCCTGAAAAACAGGTTGAAGTCAAAGAGGGGCCTGTTCCAGTTGCAGAGGATCCTGTAGCCATAAAGATTGCAGGTATAGTTAACACGCTAGAGCGGATGTTGTAGTAGAGCGGATGTTGTAGTAGAAGACATTTCTGTCTTTAAAAAGAGTGCACAGTATTGAGAAGAAAAAACCAACACTGCTACAATATTAAAGTTGATGATGTTAACTGCACAAATTAAAAAAAAAAAAAAAAGTCAGATGGTTATTTTAACATGTGGAGCATGCAATGCAATAATGTATTATTTAACAGAAGTATGGTAATACCAGTTGCTTATATGAAGCATTTAACTAAAGTGAGCAGTGATTTAAATATAACAGTACAGATTTTAAACAGTTTGTAGGACTGCTGTAGAGGAGAGAGATTTTATTTGTATATTTTAGATGGTGTCTTGTTCCTAGTGATTGTGATTTGTTATGCATGTATTCAAAAGAAGAAAGTTCAGACACCTTACAATAAATAAGGGAAGGAATTCAATTAATAACGATATTATCTTGACCATAAAATTGGATAAACATAGTTCGTGATTTTTAAATAAAAATGAAAAACATTGTTTCAGGAAGCTGTGAAAATCTATCTGCATTTGTGTGAATGTTTCATTCCCAAAATCTGGAGACAGATTCTTCAAGATGATAAACCCAAAATAAGCATTTTGTGTTAAAACTGTTGTGACTGATCTGAGAATAAGAAACCTTAGTCCAAATGATACTTTTCAGAGGAGATAATGAAGCACAGAAAAATATGCGTTTTGATCAAAGGTGCCATTACATAATAGCTCAAAATATTTAAAGAATATGTAAAGGAATCTGATTTAGTAATTCTTTGTCACTCTGTGATGGATGTTTATAATACAATATTATCACATGAATCTGCAATATTTGTGTAAAAATGTGCACGAGTCCTGCTGATATGAGGTAAATTAACTCTATAAGTAAACTGGGCAGAAGTGAAAAGACTATTTCAGGTGAAAGATTGTGAGCATTATTCTGGAACATTTAATGTCAAAACAGTTCCCTAAAAAATGGACTACGTAAGGAGCTTAGAATAGTCGTGTGTTTTGTTTATTTTTATCAGGGTGGTTTTCTTTAAGGCTTTGAATAGTACTCTCAGTTACTGATAAAATATATGCTCCATAGATTTCTTCCTTCCTCTTCCTAGAAGAGGGCTTAGACCTTGCTTAATTCACACGTAAACAAAACAACCCATGTAAGACAAGCATCAAGCCCAGCCTTCCTTAGCTTTTAAACCAAATGAGATCAAATATAGTCAGTCCTTCACAGAAATGGCTGTTTAAAGGCCACTGTCAACTTGAAAATGATTCTTCAATCGAATTTTTTATCAAACTGATACAGTAACTTCTAAAAGATTAAAATGTTTTCTGTAATGATGGCTTTAGTTGAAAACAGATTATTATGTACAAATGATCTTGATCCTATGGGTTCACATGTGTGTACTCAAACTACAAAGTGTCTATCATGCTTTTAATGCCCTAGGCAGTGAACTTTGGCTATTAAATCACTTTGTTAAATATTAAATTTGAAGCAGTAGCCTGAGATTACAGGCATCATATTGCCTTTCTCTAGTCACTTGAGCTTTTAGCTTGCATGAGCAAAATGTGTTTGTCTGAAGGGGAAAAGGAATGAACTAAATCATACTTGAATACACTCAACCCCTCATAATACTGTATGTGTGGAACCAGCAAAAGTCTGTGGTATTAAGTGGAGATGACGGTAGCTGAAGTTGCATGCAGCTGGTGCTTATTCATTTTCCGATGGCTTCACAAAGAGCAGTGCCTCACAGCTAAATTTGCGGGTGATTAGAATTTCTACCCTGCCCCTTTCGTGTATTTATGTGAACTTATATAATGTCCATGTGTGCCATTTATTTAATATCTAAATAGGACCCATAAAAATTAAGGTCTTTAAAAAAAATTAGAAGGTAATGAACTGAAGGAAGGATGGTATAGTCAGCAATAATCTTGCTTTGAGCAAGGGTCTGGACTAGGCGACCTAGGGAGGTCCTTTCCAGCCCTACTTTCTTATCCTGTAGTTGCAACAGGCATGTTAGATAATGGTACCTTTTCAAAATGATCTTTTTCACAGGCACTTCTATCTGTAGCGCATTTTTCTTGCCACATGTTCTCGTGCTTCAAGAAACTGAAGACTTCTAAGCATGACTCACTTTTTCCAGCAGACTTTTTTTTTACCACTAATTTTGGAAGGGGGGATTAAAAAAAGTCAAGGTGCATTGACTTAAAATGCAGTCTACCTTTAAAATGGAGTTTCAAGTATGCCGATGATAATTGGAAAGGACTGTTCAAGTCTAGGAATACACGTTAGACTAACATCTTTGAGTCTTAAATTAGGCCTTGCCATTTTTTTGTTTAAAAAAGCAGGATTTTAAATAAATCCTGTACTACTGTTTTTTGCCACCAGGTGGGAGCAGAGACTTTTTGGTTTGTAATATGCTAACATAACATGGTTTTTCTTCCATTTCTTTTGCAATTTGGCTTCTTGATAACGCTACTTTGACACAGGGACATCTGCAATACAGTTCATTTTCCAAAAGGAGACAGCAGTTAATTAGAGATTACTTACTTGTGATGCTTTTACAGCTCTAACTTTGAACTATACTTATAAAGGACAATCAACATAAGATCTAAACCACTCTATTAAACCTCTCTTCCACTGTCACATTTCTCATATTTAGAGAAAGATAATGAAGTATATTGGCTGTTAAATATTGGAAGACATTTTGAATCTGTTTTGGACAGCAAATACATTAAGCAAGTTTGGGGGGTGTATACTTTATATACATGTAAAATATGAAAACACATTTCACAGTATGCCTTGTCTGGGGCCAGGGACAGACCTAAAACAGTTAGTTCATGCAACTTGATGGATTTGCTGTTAAATGAAATGAGGCATTTGCCTTAGAAACTGCCAGAATAGAGCTGAAATTAATATTGGAACTGAAGTATTGCACAGGTGGAAACATAAATATAATTTCTACTATTTTTCACAAAAAAGGGTTAATAGTAATCAGAAACGCAACGGTTTTTTTTAAATGTAGGAATAGGATTGCAGGGTGAGGGAGGAATCATTGAAGAAGGTAAAAATAAGGTGATATATTCAACAAATTAAATGTACAATTTATAAGTATCTAAACTATAGTAAAGTGATAAATGTGGATTTAAAAAAAAATAAATTGTTTTAAAGTCAGCCTAATTTTACTGCTTTGACGGGATAACTGACTAGTAAATAAGAGAGAGCCGATCTGAAATAAGTTGACTTCAAAGGGATTTTTAATACTCATATGGATTTCTTATAAGCAAAAAAAAATCTGGCATAGATGAATTCATGATGAGGTTAGCATGCTGGTTGTAAAAGGCAGGGTAGAGATGCACCTTATAGACTAAGATACACATATACGTATTTAGTGCGTATGCATATGCGTATCTTAGTCTATAAGGTGCATCTCTACCCTGCCTTCTGCCTGACTTCAGACTAATGGCTAACTTTTTCACACCAGTTGTAAATTCGTATTCGTGGTTCCTTATGGCTTACTGTTGAACTGGAAGGAATTTCAAGTTAGGACACTGCAGAGGTCTGCGCTGAGTCTGATTGTGTTTTTATTAATGACCTGGCTGATGAAGTAAAAACTACACTTATAAATTGGTGACACTAAAAGAAAGATGTTGAAGGCACGTCAGGGGACAGGGTTAAAATTCAAAATGTTCTTGATAAAATGGGTAAATGATTTGAAATGACCAGATGCAGTACCATACTTAGGAAGGTGCAATTGAATACCTGGGTGTCATATTGAATCAAAATGAAATATTAATCATTTGTGGTGCTGTTGTAAAAAGGACAAATGCCACTCCGGATAAACTAATAGAAGTGCCTTTGTTAGGGCTCAGAAAGTAATTATTCTGTTCTGTTTGGTACTAGGAAGGTGTTATCTGGCATACCATGTCCAGTTTTTAGGCACCATACTTTCAGATGTGGACAAATTTGATAGAGTCTGGAAGAGAGAAATGAATAAAAATGTAGAACGTTACCTATGACAAATGGATGGAAAAATTAATTGCTCTAGAAGGGCAGATTGAAAGATGGGAAATCACAGTTAGGTCTGTAGAATGTATGAAGAAGGCAGTTATTAATTTCCATCCAGCATTATTATGGATAGAGCCAAAAGAAATTGGGTTTTCCACCAAGGATTTAGCTTACATTGTTAGGAGGACATTTCTTGCTGAAAAGATTTTTAAGGATTGTGTCGCTATCATAAGATGCTTAAATTTACAGGTTTGTAAATAGTTTACTTCTATGAAAGTATTGCTTTAAATAAGTGGCTGACAACTCTTTCCAGTGCTTGACCACATTTTATGACATGGGATCAGTATCTTCCTCTTGTTTTACTCAAAGTGGGGGGGAAAGTGTGTGTAATCCTTTTTCCTCCTGTTACTCCCTCAGAGCAAGAATCCATGCTCCCAAATAGATTCATTTTTGTTTTGAAACATGATAGAAATCGACTTGGCAGTCAGTCATTTTGAGTTGAGTAATTTCTGCCTCCTTTCTTGATTGACTAAAATTAGAATTTAAATGAGTGTGTGTAACTACAAGGAATAAGTTATGATAGTATGATTATCAAATTAGTGTTAATAAAATGCTGCTAAAAGTTTGAGAAAATGAGATGAGTGATGTTTTAAGAAGATACTGGGGGGCGGGAATGGAATAAACATGTTCTTTCCAGATTTCTAACTAAAATAGTAGCTACCATTAAAAGGGAACAGTACAGTGTTTAGCTTACCCTAAGTACTAGAACTGCAAAGAATACAGGGAAGTATGTTTGTGTTTATGAAACTTCCGCTTCTGTTTTATACTTTTGATTTTTTTTTTTCCTGTTCATTAGGTTTGGAAGCAAGATGCTAGATTTAGCATGATAATTGGGTTTTAACACAGCAGTTATTGGAGGTATAAAATACCCAGTGTTATAATGGACATCTCTGGTAGAAATTCCAAGAAATAAGCCTGTAAGCATTCCTACCTTTAAAGGAAAATTTGTGTGGCAAATATTCTAAGACTAAATCATTAGCTACAGCTTCTGAAACATTTCAGCATTAATCAGTTAGTTAGGTAAAATTAGCATACAGAACCTCTTTAAACAACATTTTATCACAAATGTATGTGTCAGTGTCTAAAAGCTGTAGTCTTTCCATTTAGGGCCAGTCTGTACATGCAGGTAAAGGTGCCATAGGATCTAATGCGCAACCCATGCAATTGCACCTGCTGCCATGCCACCTGCATGGTAGAAGGTGTGATTGTGGGATCAGTAGTCGGATCCCATCATGCCTTACTGCTGATACAGGATGTCTGACCTTGGGCTCCCCCTGCACTGGCAAGAAGCAAGTTCCTGCAGTTTGGAGCTTTCTGAGCTGATAGGGTTCCCAGCTGCAGGGGTGCTCCAGCCACCCCTGCAGCTGGGAGACCACAGCAGTTGCTGTGTCCCAACTGTGGGGGGTGCATGGGGCACCCTGGCAACTGGAAGATTTCAGCACCTGCAGTCTCTCAGCTTCAGGGGCACAGGCTACACATGCAAATTAAAGCTGGATAGAAACCAGCTACTAAGTTATTACACATTTTCCAGCAATAACTATAGTTTGCTGGACCTTTTTAAGGCACCGTAGTTAATTTGCACATGTAGCCAGTCTGAATTCATTGCAAAGTTTTACCAGGTAAATGTGCAATAGATGTAACGTGTAGAGAGGGCCTTTATACATTTTAGATAGTTTTACTTTCCTGATGCCAGATATAGTTATTAATCAGATTGGTGAAGGATTTAAATGTTATGAAATTTCCATTCTGTTTCCTTTTGATAAGAGTGAACTTGTCACAAAATCACTAAATTAGCATTGCAGAGTAATCCCTGTTAATGAAGAAATATGATCTAGCAGAGCATACTGTGTGTAAAAGGACTTGGCTTTTATTCACAGTTCTGTTTACCTGCTGTGTAATCTTGAGCAAGTAGCTTTGCTATTTAATGCCTCTAGTTCTCCAGTAACACCTTTTTATTCTTTTGGATGCATTTGGCCTATTTAATCCCTGCTGTGAAGATTTTGATGGAAGGCCTACATTGTTAGTTAGGGTTGCTCCCAGGCCCACCGTGCTCTGACCCTTGTCTGCCAGTTGCCCACACTACGAACTCACAGGCTTACAGCTGGAAGGTTAAAACTAGATGTTGCCAAATGAAGTGGATCACTGTGCTGTGGCGCAGCTAATCTGCTTCACAGGGTGAAACACATTGCCTCTTGTCCCACCCTTGGTACAGGACAAGGGGTAATGTGATCTCCCAGCTTTCCTTGCCCAACCATACCTGGGGCACGGGTCTGGCTGAGCCAGGAAAGTGCTGCAGAGGTAACAGATGCCTGCCTCAATAAACCAGCAAAATCTGTTACCACCTTTTGCTCTGCCACTGATTTTCCTTTCATGTGGTGTGGCAGAGGGAATTGGCATCTGTTCAGCATTTGTGCTGCCATAAAAATTTTTATGGGGTCACAAATGAAACATCAGGCAATGTCTGGTTCATATTTCCTGGCATATGTCCAGCCAGTTTTCCTCCTTAGCCTACGCCTTGTCTTAAGTGTGTTCTCGGTCTACCCAGCCTAAGTAAGGTTGAAATACAGGGATTCTGCTTGTGACCTTTTTGCACCTATTTCCTGTGTCCGCTAATGTGATCTGAGCATAGTACAGAAGGAAATGCAGCGGGGCAGCATGAGTCCTCGAAGGGCACTGCTTGGGTTTCCAGTTGCTTTTCAGTGGGCCTTGCTAGGAATTAGTCCGCCTGCCACTTCTCTCTCCTGTGTTTCATGTGTATAACAGCAAAAAAATATTGGGGGAGGAGCAGCTTGTGTGGTTCAGCGCGGTTGCGGGCAATCCTAGAGTTGCCCAAAATAAGAGGTATAGAAATACCCATAGTGTTTGATGATATATTTATACAGTGCCTAGCACTTTGTGGTCCCAGTTTAGTTTGGAGCCAAATGCTACTGTAATAAAAATAACAGTAATTTTCTCTTATTTTGGAGGTGTATTTGCTTAAGTTCCACATTTCATTTAAACATTTGTTGCCATTGTTCAAGTTCTAAACATCTCAGATTTTGGAAACAACTTCCTGCCTAGTTTCCTATCACAGGTTCCTGAGTAAGGGACAAGACTTTCAAAAGTGCTCAATCCTGGTTGTGCTCGCTGTTGAAAATTTGGCCACTTTTTTTTAAGTGCCCCAGTTGTGGATCCTGAACAATTTTCAAGATTTGGCTCAAGTTTTTAAAAGTTACGCCACTGCTGAGACATTTGAAAGAAAAAAACAATGGGCAATGTTTTATATGGGTCAGTGTTTTATACTTCCTCTGTGGCTGTAAAACAGCCAGCAGCTAACACAAACTTCCCAGAGCTGTGTTAACATTAATCCCTATTGTTGCACAAAGATGGTTTTGGCATAAATCAGGGTTAAGCTGAAACTTCTAAACTAAAACAACTATCTCAGTTGAATTCCATTCAGACCAGGGGAGAAGCTTGCCACATATTCTAGAAAATTAGTGTCAGAGTATTAAATTGATAAGAGTTATGTATATTAACCTCCCCTTTCCCCAGAGAAAAAAAACAATATACATGTTGCTATAAAAAAGTAATAATAACCGTACCCAAATCCTGTAATGGTTTTAGAAGATCATTAGAGTTAGAAAAGCTTTTGATATACCAGCCTTCACTCCTACCCAAAGTCAAGATGATTTTTGATAGAAAAGAGAATGTATATTTGATATCAATCTCCTGTTGCTCTTAAGAGGACTCTGAGGTATTACAATCTAATGATTTTAAGAATCTTGATGGATAATTTTTACTATGATGAAATTTTTAAACTAATTTAACTCTTCTGCTAAATTTATTTTTTCATTCTACAGAATTACTGGAGAATGTAAAATTAATACATAAACCAGTATCTTTGCAACCACGAGGGCTGATCAATAAAGGAAACTGGTGCTACATCAATGCTGTATCCTTATCTTGGAGAAATGAATTTAAATTAAGCTTATGTTTGTATATTATGGCAGTTGTCAAGTCAAGTTTGTTCTGTTTGTACAATAAACAATTCACATTAGATTAACAAAGTAATTCCTGGTTGCCTGCTCACTAATATTTTTCTTTAAAATAAATAAAAATAAAAATGCTCTTCAGCTATGATGCATGCATTAAGAAAACCCTTTATATTTACATAATAATAGGAACGGGGGATATTCTGGTGAGGGTCGGTTTGTTTTTATTTTTTCTAAGAAAGCACCTACAGAAAATGTTATCTTTTGTTTTCCATATCCCTTCCTTGCAGATGTTTCTGCTTTTTGTGTTGACAATACAGAATCAAAGAAACTGAATCAAAATAAGTTAAATAGGTATGTTGGGAACATAGGACTGGAAGGGACCTGCTTAATCCTGGAATCCAGTTCCGTTATAGACCAATTGTCCTATGACCCTGTTCCTAAATTGCCAGGCTTAATCTTAAATCTGGCTAGGTTGTTTGTCCCCCAGTACTTCAATTGGAGGGCTGTTACAGAAATTTTAATCCTCTGGTTATAAATTCTCTGATTTCTAGTGTACATTTATTCAAGGACAGATTTATGTCTCTGTTCTTGTGCCAACGTTGGCCCTGTATTTTAAGTTGCTGATCTTCCTTGGTTATTTGTCCATCTATAAAGAGAGAGCAGTCGTATCCCTTCCCTGCCTTCATGTGCTTTGTAAGCACTCTTGAAAGGTAACCTGTGCATTCTCATGATCATTCTGATTAGTCCTGCTTCAGTTTGGGAGTCCTTCATGAACATAGGCAGAACTGTATACAGTATTTCAGATGAGATCTCTTTCGCTGCCTTGTTGAAAGGTGTTAATTCTACCTTCAGTCTGCAGGAATGCATTTTCTCATACATTCCAGCTTCTAGTTTGCTTTTTTCAGGACCTTATCACAATTGCACAATTATGGTCATTTTGTAAATGACTTATAGTCCTAGATCTTTTTCTCCTTATTTCCAACTGATATGCCTCCATTCATTTTTGGCTTTGCTAGAAATGGTCAAGACATTGATTCTTGGGACTTTTTGAGAGTGAAAAGCTGTCTTACGTTCTGTATTCACTTTGTCTTCTTTCCTAATAGCTCTTCAGGAAACCTGGAAGGTCTTGCCATTTATAAACTCTCTCTCTCTTTTTTTTTTTTTTAAAGACTTTTTTATAATTAGTTGTTTTTACCTCTATTGTATGTTTTCCTTGAGATGAAAGATTTGAAGTATTTAAAAGAGATGAATAGATTGAAGCTAAGTCATGTTATGCTGTTAGGTTTTTTTAATGTGATTTCTATGAATCAATTGTTTAGCAAGCTTACATAATGTGTATTTGTTAATTTTAATGTAGTGATTGGATTGTCTATGTTTCAGATTAATAATAAGCTTTAAAATTACTGGAGATTAAATATCTAATCTTGCTTTTGTGACTGTTTCCTTAATACTATTATACAGACATTGCAGGCCTTGGTTGCTTGCCCTCCAATGTATCATTTAATGAAGTCCATTCCAATGTATTCAAAATCACAACGGCCGTGCACCTCAACACCAATGATAGACAGCTTGTAAGTAAACCGGTTACAAATTCTCAGTATCTCAGTTTTACTTAAGTACATGAACTCAACCCAGTGTTTTAGCAAACCACTGTATTACTGCAGTTGAAGAAAACTGACACAGTAACATTTAAGACCCATAAATTACTGGGGATATTTTAGTTTAGTTTTCAAATGGCATTTTAATTTTATAGCCAACTTCTGATATTACTTACAGGCAGTCAAGGAGGGAGAATATTTTCCACTGTTTTATTTCCTGTGGATCAGCTTAGCTCAGAAAGATTGTTTTGAATAAGCTGAAGGGGACTGAATCTGCAACATGGCTGTGTAGTAAAGCTCAAAAACCCATTTAATCATTTTTTCTTTGGGAGACAAAGAATGACCATGTTAATTTGTGCATGTTTTTTTTAAAAACTTACTAATGTGGCCTTGGGGTTTTTTTGGACTTGTCAGGGACTACTATGATCTAATATTTTGATTGTTTTATCTGATAACTTATCCTGCACAAATACTTTTTATGTAATATGCTGATGATGCCTAGATGTTCTTTCTGTCTCATTTCAGCATTCGCCTGATGAATGAGTTCACTAATATGCCAGTACCTCCTAAAGCAAAACAAGGTGAGTTGGGAGTAAACACCTTCTTTAAAATAGATTTCTACATTAAATATTAAAAGCCAAGGGTGTCAAACATACGATCCCTTGGCTGGATCCACCCTGTGGGTTGCTGGATCAACCCCATTTGCCAATCCCGGCCCCATGTGCTGCACACACTGTGCCACTGGAGCAACCCTGCATATTGACTCTGAGGCTGGTCCGGATCGGGCTGTGCCAAAACCAGCTCACAGGGCCAGTCTGGTGAGGCACTGCAGGCATTGTGCATCCTATACTGCCCCGCCTGTGCTGCATATGGCATGTATGGCCATTCCAGTCCTGCACACTGCATACAGTGGCCCTGGGGCTTGCCCTGCATTTGGCATAGGGGTCTGGCACATGGGCTATATGCAGAGCCCCACCACCACACCCCTGCACATGGGTTGTGGTGCAGCCCAATCTGGACTGGTCCTGGAGCCAGCATGCAGGGTTAGTTCAGTGGGGTGCTGCATGGATTTGACCCATGTACAGCCTGCAGCACTGGCTTCAGCCAGCACACACCCCATGGTGGCCCCACATGGTGTGGGCATAGCAAGCCCCAGGGCAGTGTGTACTATGTGCTGTGCATTGACTGGACCCAGATTGAGCACCATGAGCTCTACATGGGGGATCAGTCCTGGTCTGGGTTACGAACTAGCCCAGTGACCATCATCCGGCCCATAGGCCAGAAGAGTTTGATACCCCACAGTAATCTCGTGCAGGGATCATTTCTGTATTACGTGCTTGCATCAATCAACCAAGTGCCATCCTTGTCAAGAGGGTTAGGAACATGATGGGCAAGTGCTCTCCCTTTGGTTCAATCTGTTGTTAGTCTGGCCACTATTTATATGGAATCCAGTCGAGTCTTCTGTGTCCTTGTACCATCTCTTTGGTTGACTCTCTTCCCTGGTGTACAACCCTGTGTTATATCCTTTTCTTGCCTCTCTTCTGTTCAGTGCTTTCTTTCCATTTTGGAGCATAACAGAGAGAATCATCTCTTTGTTGCTTGTATAGTGCCTGACATAATATGGTTGGGAACTCATAAGTATTTGTTCTGCTCCTCCTTCCTTTCAGGCTCTATGAATCCTTGAGTTTCTTAGCTGCTGTTAGACTAATTCTACTGCTCTCTGTCAAAGGAATATTTCTCCCATTAGTGAAGTCATATTTATGAACTTTGGCCTTTCCCAGTTACCGCAATTACTTTTTGCTTGATTAAAAGGGCATACACTGCAAGCATTGCTTTTCTGCCTTAACTTGGACAATCTACTGAAGTCGTGGGCTATGTCCCTAACGGAATAAAGCAGAGTAGGGCTGTGTGAAACAGGCCCTATTCGATTTGGATTCAGATGCGGCCCGAATCACGGACAGTGATTTGATCCGTTGATTTGGATCACTGTCCCCGCTTTGATTCAGCCAAATCCAAATCTGAAGATTTGATGCTGATTTGGTGAATCAGCAATTCGGACACAGGCACAGCTTAAAAGTTTTTTTTTCTACATACCTTGAGGTAGCAGGTGCAGCTTGTGATTACTGTGGTGCTGGGGTGCATGGAGCATACCACAGGAGCATGGGGGGCTCTCCAGCCTTCTCAGCAGCAAACCTGGATGTGGACTGGAAGTACTTCCAGGTCTGCCGAGGAGTGTGCTGGGGGGCCTCCCTGTGCCTGGCTCAGTGATTGGCTTCAGGGGACCACGGGTGCCCCCTAGTCCCAAGAGGCACCAGTCGCTGAGCCGGAGGGGTGTGAGGGGCCGCCCCGCGCACTCCCCAGCAGACCAGGAAGCGGACTGGAAGTGCTTCTGGTCCACTTCTAGGTCTGCTGGGGTGCGCGCTGGGGAGCCCCCCATGCTTCTGTGGGATGCTGCATCTGCCCCAGCACCACAGTGTTCAGAGCTCTTGCTACCTAGAGATGTGTAGAAAAAACATTTAAAGCTGTATCTACATCCGAATCTCTCTGAATTGATTCGGAGGGGTTCTGACTCGATTCGGAGAGATTGAAGGGTCCTCTAATTGGATTCAGATTTTGAGATTCGGCCACCGAATCAGGCCGTATCTCGGCTGAATCAAATCAGGGATCGAAGCTTCGCATAGCCCTGTAAAGCAGTACCCTGCAGATAACCTAAGTTAACTACAGACATTAGGAGGAAGCAGGCTAGGTGCCTCAGCATGGCATATTCACTACGTTTAAAAAATCCTGTTAAGAAGTAGACCAAATTTGTTCTGATGCAGTGCTGTGCACTGATCTGGCTATTCTGTTTCTACTTAGGGAGCTACTGCACAGGGAGCTAGTTGAAATATTTCTGCTTGGTGGTGTTTTGCCCCATGTAGGCAAACCTTTGGATTTCAGTTTATTTACAATCTTTGATTCTGCTCAACCGGCTCAGTTCCTATTGGATCTTTTCTGTCATCATCATCCTCCCTTATAGACCCCCAGAATTTATCCTGGTGTTTTTAAGGTAGTTGTCTGCCTTTGTTTTTTTTTTTATCAAGGGCCTAAACTTTGTATCCAGGTGTAACAATACAGTCCTAAAGCAATCATTCCTGAGTTGTGCTTTAGTTTTTTCCCTTACTTTATGTAATATAAAAGCTTTACAAATGTGTGATTTCTGTTAAAAAATTTAAAAATCTGTCACATGAATACATGAAGGGGAAGAAGTAAGATCTTCCCTACCTTAATTACAATATCTTTTTCAGTTTCATTTTATCTCTAAATTCATTTTAGTCTGATTTTTTTTCTTAAAAAGAAAGAAGATATTTTTACTTGAGTAATTTATGCACATGTATTTCAGTATAATCCTGGATTAAATACGGTGTATGTTTCATACTGTAAGGAAGCATGATGGAAAAGTCAGCTGTTCTAATGGTTTCCAAATAGGTTAGACATTTTTGTGGTTTGTCTTAAAATTTCAAGCTGGAAAACAAGTGTCTTTTGCAATTGGTTAATTTTTTAGGTTACTAACTGTATTCTGGTAATGTCAACATAATATCTGAGGCCAGAGCTCTGTATCAGTTTGAGCATTCAGTGTCAATAAGTATGGCTTTTTTCCTAGCAAATATAATGTAATGAGTGACCTCTTAGGTGTAGAAGCATAAGCAGGGAGGTTTACTCCTGGGGTCTCCGAGTACACAGTCGACACAGAAAATAGAAAAAGTAGATCTCAAATTGTGAATTTGTCCTTGGGTGGTTTTTTTTTCTGTGTGTGCTTTCACATTTTTTGGTCGACATTACTTGGAAGAGCACAGAGACTACTGACATGTTTTAAAATACTGTTTGCTGTTTTCAGGTATTAGATGACTTCCTCATTAGAATGGATGTACATGATTCTTGAGAAGTTGCAGGGATAGGGAGCTGTCACTTAGAGAGCCTAGGCTTGATTTTAAGAAAAGCTCACTTCAGTTTTTTATGTTTAATAATAAGATTAGTTTGAGACCCTAAAAAGCTGCTGATATACAAGATTCTTTAGCAAATACGTATTAAAAATGCATGTAAGATGCAGTTCTAAACACTGGTAAGTAAAATATCTGAAGTGGAACTGTAGGGTACCCTATGTTAATTATGGTAGCTAGTAGCTAGTAAAGTAGATTTGTAAAAATATATTCTTATTGCACAGGAAAAGTACCTGATTTAAAAAAAAAAAAATCTTAATACACTGATTTTTCTCAGGTCAGACAAATTATAGATTTTTTTTATTTGTTAATTTTAACAGCTTGGTTATAGAAGAACATGATTCATCTATAATCTAAAGATGCTTTCCCCTTAAACTTTCCACTTCACAATACCCTCCATATGGCTTATCTTCATACTATGTCATTTCTGTTTGCTTTGCAGCTTTAGGTGATAAAATTATGAGAGACATTCGGCCAGGAGCTGCTTTTGAACCTACGTACATTTATAGACTGTTGACAGTTATCAAGTCTAGTCTGTCAGAAAAGGTACTGTTTTAAATGTAAGCTGCTTATTTTGCAGTGTATATACAACAGATTATATTTGAAAGCAGTGGGTGCTCTTAAGATAATTTTTCTAAATAAAAACCATAAAATTGGTCACATGATGAAGTCTTATAAGAAGATATAGTTGACATTAAGACTAGCTTTCAGCCTTAGGCTCCGAGTTGTGTTATAACAACTGAAATCAGATACAACATTTCTTTTTGTTTTTGAAATTTCCTGAAAATGGAAAGGATAGTGTCTTGTCTTATATCTACCGTTAAGTCTGTGGACACTCAAAAGTAGTGTATTTAATAGCTTAATCTTTTATTCAGGGCAGACAAGAAGATGCTGAAGAATACCTGGGATTCATCCTAAATGGACTACATGAGGAAATGCTCATCCTAAAGAAACTTCTTTCTCCGCAGAATGAAAGTTAGTTTTCGTAGCAAGCTTACTTTTATTTTTTCAAATACTTAACATGTAAAGTCTTTATATTTTTGAGTAGATAAAGGCAAGGGAGATGCATTCTCATTAAGGGGAGGGATTTGAACATGCGTTAGGCTGATTGTAGAGTTCCACGTGGCACAGCTCTAGAGGGAGCTTATGTAAGACAAGTGTATAACTTTTTTTTTTTTTGACTTTTCAAAATCTGCAGCTAGGATAAAATGGGATTGTATTTGCAAAGTTTATTACTGGAGAATATCTGTTGGAATAGCATAAATTTATCATGTCAAAGTAGTTATAGGGGGAAACATCTCACTCTCACCTAACACTGCTACTGGCTATAAGGACTTGGTTTGATAACAGTAAAGTAGCTTGTTATTGAAGGCATGAAGAGATTTCAATTGAAAAAATGATTGCAAGTAACTCAGTAGTACTTGGTACGCAAACTTTATTTAAAAGTAAGTATAGCTGTGGTTTCCTACTACTCAGTATATCTGAATTGTGGTTGTCTGGCATTTTTGACCTTTTTCAGGATGGCACTGTAGTAAAAGAATATAATTGATCCGTGACTTCTGAACAACTGTTGGTTAAGCTGTTCTTTTCTGTACCAGAAATTTGAGCAAACAAGCTCTAATAGTTTTGTATTTATTTATAACAGGACATATTAATTGGTTTTATTAGTATCTTGCTGACGAGATAAAAATCCACAAAATTTTCAGTTTATTTTAAACAACTGACAGGGTTTCCAGGCAGCCTAGAAACAACAGAATTGTATTTTATATTAACTTTTATTTTTATGTTTGGGTGCTCAATTTAGAAACAAACAAAAATACAGTAGCCCATTTTATCATCCTGTTTTGTTTTTTTCTTTAACAAGAAATAAAAAAAGTCTTTCTATCTCTGTAAGTTCTCTCTAGCATAAAGCTATTAGTCTGTATTTTATTATACAGCTACACTCAATACATGAACTTTGAGTTTGGCACCTGTAAAGGAATATATTTGCTGAACCTTAGGTATATTGTAAAATATCCATGCAGAAAAGGAGTCCGGTTTTAATAAGAGATAAGTCTAACTCTTCTAGAATAACATTTGACTTTCTGCAGTTCTACCGAAAAGGTTCATTATCAAAAAATATTGTATTCTCACTACAAAACATCCCCAAACAAATTGTGCACCTTGTTTTTTGAAGGCAACTTGTAGGGCAGAAAAAAAGATTTTTCGAGCCCCGGCCAAATCTCTGACAGAGTAAGTCCTGAAAACACAGAGTGTCCAGGAAGTATGTTTTCTCAGGAGACAAGAGGCAGTTAGCATCAGGAAGCTCCGCACTTCTTTGTCTTGGGATGCCACGTTCCTGGACACGCTGTTCCCAGAAGGACTTACTGGCCCCAACTATACGAGATGCAGTAGCATGGGGGGGTACTAACTGTGATGCAACGCTACTGTGCAGTAGTAACAAGCTGTACTGATTTCGGAGTTGATGGTGCTTGTGAGAAAATAGGGTATATAGGGTACTAACTAGTTCTGTCTCTGCATTTTGCAGACTTGTAGGCAAGCTGCATAGGCTTGTGCTACTGTGCAGTAGTGTCAGAAGAAAACTATGCGGGGACGCTACTGTGCAGTAATGCCAGTTGCTGCGCAGTCATTTAGTACTTGGTTAAGCAATACTAAATGACTGTGCAGTAACAGCTGCTCAGTCTGCCACTTGTGTAGATGCAACCACTCTGTCATAGAGTAACTTGGTGCGCAAGGTTAGGCCGTAGACCGTGGAAGGGTGGTAGCAAGACCTGTTACTTACCTAGTTCTTTACATAAGTTCCTGTAAATAAAGTGGTGTTTCTTCATCACAAGCTTCATAAAGATACTGCCAGCAGCTCACTTGCTGCTTCAGGCACAAACCACAGTGCTAACCCAATCGGAGTGGCTGAGAACGCATTAACACCAGGACTCTACCCCTTCAGCTTGCTGAGCCAGATGCAAGTGGCAGCCATCTTGGCAGCTGCGCGGCACATACAGTGCCTCTAGGCTTGCTGCTGTTCCAATGAAGAAAACACTTTCCCTGCTTAAGATGTGCACCCCAATTTTAGGAGGCTGATTTCAAAGATAGTGGTGCATGGCGTTTGTGAGAAAATAGGGTATAGGGAACTAACTAGTTCTGTCTCTGCATTTTGCAGACTCATAGGCAAGCTTCATTCCATTAAACATGTAAGTTCCCAATGGCAGAAGGATCAGGAATGCAGTTGTGTTGTTTCAAATTACCTTTTCATAAGTGTTTTGATAGTTAAGATAGAAGAGCCTCATTATCCTTATAGCAAGGGTAAGGAACCTGAAACCCAGTCAAGCTGTGCACAGAAAATTCAGGCACATTAATTGCACATATAGATGTGCCCACTGTATATTTAATGTTATACATCTCATGAAGATTCAAGTTGCATCTGTGGCCTGGTGTTAATTGAAAAAGGAAATCTATTTAAAAGTTTTAATCTTTTCTTTGTAAAGAATAGGATCATTTTATTTGTAAAAATCAGTATCTACATTTTCTTTTTTTTCTTAAGAACTCTCTGTTTCCAATGGTCCTGAAACACAAACTGTAAATGAAGAGGAGGATCCGGAAGAACAAGGAGAAGGTAGTGAGGATGAGTGGGAACAAGTGGGCCCCCGCAACAAGTCCTCGGTCACTCGACAGGCTGACTTTGTTCAGACTCCAATTACTGATATTTTTGGTGGTCATATAAGGTATAGTTCTGTTTTTTTACTTAGTGCACTACTTTATTTTATTTTGCAACACTGAGAGCCACCCATAAACTTTAGAGAGAAGATGCATATTCACTAGTAACCGTGGCTTTATTTCATTAGCAGACTTTTAGTGGGGGTTAAAAGTGTACAATTCACAAAGGCCAGAGAGCGTAACACTATAATTAAAAAAAAAAAAAAAAAAAAAGTGTTACAGGAGAGATTTTTCAAAATATGTCTTTGTGTAGTTGAATTTGTAAAGAATTAGTCAGAGGTAAGAGTTCGTTTGAAGAATGGGTATCACTAGTTGTTCAGGGGAGATGAAGTTAAAGAAGATGCATGCTTTGCTTATTTACAGTTCCTTTCATCCACAGACTCTAAAGCACTTTATACATAATTAATAGTTAATGTTTACAGGAATCTTGTACATTGGTAAGCTGGAGCACCATTGGTTTTGCCCAGAGTTGCATGTCCAGTCAGCGAGAGAAAAGGCAATAGAATTCCTAAGTCTTAAAAACAGAAGGAACTTGCTTTTAAAATATAAATAGGAAGTTAAAGACAAAAGAGGCTGTGGGCTTTAAAAATTTAGAACTTTCCAAATTTATTGCAGGAATGAAGGCAATATACTGAGTTAGTAACTTGCACATGTGATAATGTGTACAGGAAATCAGAAATAGATACCTAAAAAAATGAGTATTACTTATTTAAAAAAATGTTATTTAAAAATAATTTAAAAGATAAAATCAACATAAATACTTGGAGAAAATAAATTCCCAAATACTAAGTGTTAAGAGTTTGAAGAGATTTTAAAAAAATCCGAGCAAGACATTTTGATTGCTAGTGTATCAATCCCTGTGGTGTCAGATATTCAGAGGAGGTTGGTTGGTGCCTTCCACATGTGAAATGCACTAAAATTATTCCTCAGGGTTTTGAATCAGACAGCTGGCAAATAAAAAGACATTTTTCATAGAAGTTGGCAGACAGATGTCTGTACATATTGGCATATTTCCCTATTAATTGGCATGTCCACATACCCAAAGTATTGTCAAATACTTTTGTATATACTGGAAATTTTATATTCGTCATGGCCAGGTTTGTTTGGATCTCTGTATGATTGTTTCATATTTTAGTTAAATGTCAAGGTATTTGGGGAGCACTGCAAGAACCCATAGAGAAATGAGATAAAATTGAGGGATTAATGAAGAAGGTACTTTTGTACTGAACAGCAGAGCCACAAGGTCCATTCCCACATCTGTTGTCTCAAGTCACCACACCCATCTTATTTAGCTTGCTAACTAGGTCACACAGTAGACTGCAGAAGCAGTATCCCACGTTGAGATTTTGGAAAACTTCCTCCTCTGAGGCTGAAGGTGGAATTAGGAAGCCTTTGAATGCAAAATCTTCAGTAGTAGTCCACCAAATAAAAGCATCAGGAGTAGAAAAATTGAACGGAAAACAGCTAAGAAAACATGGTTGAATCGGCACCTTTCTCTTTAGGGGGACTTTAGCTTCTTTTTTAGGTTGGTTTGTTGAACTCTTAATTGGGTGTCACTCCAGCAAGAAATTTTGTAGTGAGAAGCAGTTCTAATTACTTACATATAAAGTATGGGGTTGACATCTTCATGAGGCTTGTAATTTTATGCACAAATTGGAATTCTTTGGTGTCTATTGCTTGTGCAGATTTGCCTGTGGATGCTAACTTTTCTCGCAGATGCCCTGTGATGTAAAAATACTGGTCTGTGTTCACCGTTGGCATGGGTAGAGGTTTGAAATGGGGAATATGCTTAAGGAAATTTTTAAGAATTGATTTTTATTCACTAGCTGAATCCTCTTAAATGCTATTAGTGCTACTACATTTGCAGGATAATGATGAAAAGAATGCCTTTGCATAAGAAATTCACTTAAATTACTAAATATGGGTGCCCCCAGAATTGTTGCTCTGATCTTCCCAGAAATTGTTGCATATAAACATTCTTTTGCCAGCTTTATTTAAAGAAGTGAGATACAGTATTTTGCTATAATATAAAAGAATTATTGGTACAGCTAAAGTCTACCAAATTAGTTGCTACGTAATGCAGTATTCTGTGCACTTTTGCAGAAAAGCTATATTTGTATTTCTAATTCCGTTTGAAAAAACATTTACATTGGAAATTAACATACTGGAATACTAGCTGCATTTTTAGATGCATCTGATTTTTCTGTTTGTTGAGTTAAAAACAGCTACTTTGCAGTAGTTTGTTCTGTTAAATAGTTTGCCAGTTAGAGTGGGTAGAGGAAGGTGTGCCTGAAAAGTAGCAAAACTCTTAGACAGTAGAGAATTTGTTTTTTGAAACATCAACCTTGCCACGTGTTAAAGGTTTTGTCCTTAAATGTAGCCAAGGAGGCAATGCTAACCTGAAATAAAGATGCCACTGTCTTTAGTAGACTCCTTTCCCTCTAAAGAATGTGCATTAGCCAGTATAAAGAAGGATTATTTCAAGGTTGGGTCTGAATCAAAGGAGCTATTTTTCTGAGTTTTAAGCTCCCATGTTAATATTCCCTCAGTGCTCATGAGGGAGTTCAACATAATGACCTAAATTATGGTTATTTCAGGGCCCTTATTTTCTGAAGGACTATATCAAATTGGGTGGTATCTGACTGTAGAAAACCACACTTGTATTCCATGTGGGTTTTTAATATCAGAGAAAGGACCATCTTCCAAATAAAAGAAGTTAAGATCTTTGTGATTAGATATAGCTTCAAATAATATGAAGATTAATAAAAATTCAAATTGTACAGTCTTTGCAAAATAATGCAGTATCTCACCTCACAAATAATTAAACTACTTTCAAACTGTTTATTTCATATTGGGTCTGAAACTGTTTTAGCTTCCCAGATATTAATAGGAAGTCTGTTCTAATACTGCAAGGCAAAAATTCCAAAAGCACTTAGTCTTCAATTTATATTCAAGACAAACTAGCAAATGTGGCTGCAAAATTTCTATGGAAGATAAAGAAAAAGCAAGCCTTAAAGCAGTCTTGTTTTAGATTGTTAAAGAGCATGCAGTAAGAAAATTTGCATTAACACATTGTATAACTTCACTGGTACTCTGTAAGATAGACTGTAAAAATGAAATATCTGGATCCAGTTAAATTTCTCAGAACAACATCATAAAACTAATAGATGAGCATTCATGTCTGCCTGTTTAAGTATCTGTTCTAAGATATTAAAGTTATCCATTCTGATAATATTTAAACTTTTCAAAACCCACACATGATCACTGAGAAATTAAAATGACATTCTCTATTTTGAGCTGTTTTGTAAACACCAAATATCCTCTGGAGTAACTTTCAACCGTTTGTCTTGGAGCTATGCATATTCCACAAAACTGTAGTCATTGTCGCAGTTAAGAACATAGCAGATTTGAGACCATTGCCAATTTATGCATGCCAGTAGATCATGCAGCTTTATTTTCAACATCTGATTACAGACAGCTTGGGAGATAAGACTGGGAAATAAACAGCAGGCCATGATAATGTCTGTATCTTTCAGATAAATTTCATTCACTTTTCACATAGCTACTCCCCACTCTGTGCTTTTTTTTTTTTTTTTAATCAAATCAGTCTGTTTCTGATGTTAAGAACAGGTAGACTAGTTATACCTGAAAACTTCACTGACAAAGATTTTTAAATCGTCTGAAGTCCCAAAGCTGATAGTAGTTGGGTAGGTTTAAGCATAATGCTTTATTTGTAAACACAATACTTAAACAGTTCCTTTTCTTTAGTTGTCAAAGACTTATTTTTTTCCCTTGTTAAATTGAATGCCAGTTTTTGGGCAGCAATACCCAGGTGAAATTCTTTAAAAGAAATTATTTAACAGATTCAGCTATCATGCGCTCTTACAGTTTTGCCAAATACTGTTCTCAAGTCTTGCATAAATTACCTTAATTTTTGCATAAATACAAAGATATAATTATTCATGTTGTTAACAAATATTAAAATCAAATGATTTTCAAATGTATTATAGCACAGCCTAGTTCTTGAAACTGAAGCTTATTTCTTTATGTCTGTGTGGTCTTTTTCCCCCCCCCAAAGTGATTAAAGAATGTACGAGCAGGTGCATAGGTTTGTTTCCATATCCTTTTATGTACTTCTCTGCTGTTAAAAATGGTAATATAAATATAGTTTTTGACCTTTTTCCTTTCCATAGATCTGTTGTTTACCAGCAAAGTTCTAAGGAGTCTGCAACTCTGCAGCCTTTTTTCACTCTGCAACTGGATATCCAGTCTGACAAAATACGCACAGTTCAGGATGCTTTGGAAAGCTTGGTAGCAAGGGAGTCTGTCCAGGGTTACACCACAAAAACCAAACAAGAGGTGCGTTCTGTTTTTGGTCTGCTGAACCTTCTTACATGTGAATTTTAAGGGCTTTTCCATCCATCTGTTGCCTGAACACTAATCCTTAAAAGAGGTGTTGACCTTTCAAAATATGCTGCAAGGGTGACTTGTTCATGTTTAATAAGCATAGTCAGGGTCACTCAGACCAGATGACGTGCTAATTCCATTGAATGAAATGATTGACTGTAAATTGGTATATTTCTTGGATTGGTCTAATAATTGGTCAGAGATTTCTTTTAGGTAAAAATGGAAATTAAATTACTATATGAAATGACTAATAATATGTTCTGTTATGGAGAAAACCACTTTCAAATAATTCAAAGCACTAGTGATAATTCCTGGGTTGCTAGACACTCAAAGCAAGATAGAAATAATTCTTCATAATATTGAATGAGTATTTCCTGGCTTTTGAAGAAAGTATTTTATAATATAAGAGCCTTGTGAATCAGAACAGTGATTGCTCTGTGTTTGCTTCCTCCCGTCAGTTTGGAAGGAATTACCATGGTGTATGGCCAGAAGAGGTTTTCAAACCTTTTTGCAGTGTAGACAGTACTTAAATTTACAGAAAATGCATTGTTAAATCCATTTCCATGTGTGACTACCAAACCACTTGCCACACTTTTCACAGTAGCACAAAATCCTTACGAAATCTAGAATAATTGTTCATGTTAAGACCTGACCTCTGTTTGCTGCAGTTTGGACGCTTTTGGTGCAGAATTATAGGCCGAATTATTTTGGTTTTAGTTTTCCTCACAGCTCTCTTACCCTTTGCTACTACTGACTGCCTCGTCGACTTGTGTTCAGGGTTCATAATACCTTTAAATAGGCCCAGGCAGCACAGGGGGCCCCTGAGAATATAGATTTATTTTTCACATACATACTGTCTTTGTTTCTCTTACCTATCATTTGGATGAACATGCCATATAAAAAATGTTATTGGAGAAAGGATGCAAAGCTTTAAAAATTTCCCTAGGTATGCAGACATATTTTGGCTGGATTGTGTGTCGTATACACTAGCTGGAGTTTGATGTGGGAGAATATTCCTTCAGTTGTCTTGAGGATTTCTTCTAATGTGGAAGGAACATTTGCGATGAAAGCTCACCATGATTTTACCACATGCGTTTTGTTTTGCTAGGCACTCGCTTTTGGTGTTTGCTGCAGATGGTTTTAACTCCTTAACTGACAACCAAGTGTTCAGTTCCAGGTTTTGAAAGAAATGGGGGTTCAGTTTTGGTGCTAGAGGTTTGGTCTGGCTTGTTTCAATCTGAGTGGAAATAAAAGCATTCAGAGACGCTTGAAGAAATTCAGGAAAAATAGCTGTTTTATTACACATTGTAGTTAAAACGTTGGACACACAGGTTTATAGCACGTTACAGGTGGTGATTCTCAAAATTGCCCTTGTGAGGAAGAGAAGCATTTCACCTGTATTTTCTGGGTGAATAAAACTGAACCTCTTCATGGAGATCAAAGGGAGTGTCAGTAAATCAGAGTTTCAGAAGCTCCTGGATCTATGTCCTGTCTTTAGAATTTACCTGCCTAAAATTACTATAGCTAAGAAAAGTTCAGTCCCTCCTGCTGTTATTTCTGTGGAAATTCCCCAGGAATTTAATGATGGTTTCCGTCCTCTCTCCCTCTCTCTAGGGTGGGAATACTGAAGTGTCATCTTGGCACGTGTTAAAAGCTTTACTTATATTTACTTTTAATTTTCCCCCAAAATATCTTAAAATAAAATTGCATAATAATGCACTGTGAGGTCATCATCAATTCCCTCTGGCTGTGAATACATGAATGGCTATTCCAGGAAAACCCAGTTGCACAAAGGCTTAAAGGGGGGGTGGGACGGGACGGGATAAATAATAATAAAAAAAAAATTGTGACCTTCTGACAACCCCTTGAGCCCCAAGGGTAAGTCTGCTCTAACCCAGGAAACTTTACCCTAGCTCTGTTCCAAGGTAAAGTTGTCCTGCTGCAGCTGTATGTACGTGGATTCCCATAAGCAGTTGCCTTCAGACATTTGTTTCAAGGTTCCCATGCTGTAGGGCAAGTTCATTCATGTAGCCAAAGCTTCAGATTTTCCTGCATCTGATCTGCTTTTCCTCCTGTATTTTGTACCAGAGTGACATAAATGTAGTTTGCAAGAAACAGGCCATTTAAAATCCATGTTTCCCTCATACTCTTCACGTAAATTATACTATTGGTGTATAAATTCAGCGCCTAGTGCAGGGGTAGGCAACCTCTGGCACAGGTGCCAGAGCATGGCGCCCAAAGGCATTTTGCTTGGCACGTGCAGCTTGGGGCAGATGGCAGGGAAGGAGCACTGCCACGACAAAGATCAGGCCTTCATGGTTCTCCTGCCATCCGCCCCTGATGCATCAACATCTTACAGGTTGCAGTTGCGGCTGTTTTTGGTACTCTGTCCAAAAATGTTGCCAACACTTGGCCTATTGTTTTGGTTTTTGTTTTGTTGGGATTTTTTGTTGTTGTTTTTAATGATGCTGTGAGTTTTGGAAAAAGCTGCATTAGCAAAATTAAGATGTTCTTTTCTGCTGGTCCTCTTAAATGCTCGTCATTTAAAAAACTTAGTCTGTTTAATTGTAAATTTCTGCCCAGGAGATGGTATTTAAAAATAAATAAATAAATAAAATGAAGTGGAACTAGAGCTCTGCAATGGAATAGTGGTTTGCTGCTGTATGTCTGTTATGTAATTTGTTGCATCTTGTGGCAAAAGAACTAGATTTGCAGCTTATTGCTTCTGGTGTCACAAATTAAATTGTGTTAACTTGTTAAAATGCATTCTTAGTTGCAGTTTAAAAGCACTTACTGTTTTCTGTATTAAGATTTTAAAGACATGTTGGCTTGGATCCTCTGTTATAGCTCTAATCTTCTGTATCTAGGTGGATAAAGCTGCCTATTACTTAAGTGTATGATGATTTTCAGGAAAGGTGGTATATAAAGATACACACTGGTGTTTCTTACATATTTTAAAAGATTCTGGAAGTTTGGCATGTTGCTTCTGCTTTATCCTTGGCAACAGTAAGTGCTTAATCAGTGATCACCTGTTTATGCCAAATCTATTTGCTCATGTGGAGAGAGGGAGGGAAAATCTCCTCCTCCTCTGCTTGTGGGAGGATATCAGTTTTTGTATCCAAGAAAGTCTTGTCCAAACCAGTTTCGGAGAACCTTAAGAATTACTTAAAATTTGGCAGAATAAAGTAATTATACTCTGCATGCCAGTATGGACCATTTATGTTTCAAGCACAGCTGAGCCAGCCCAGACCCACCATGGGATAAAGAACCAGTTTCCTAAAAGAGATGCTTGCTGCAACTCCATTTTAAGAAATTGTTTGCAATCAACATAAATAAAGGTACGACTTTTTTTCTGTAAACGTACCATCTTCATATTAGTGAGAACCAGCAAGCATTTTTCTAAGGTGGACCAAATTTTCTGCTAGCAAAATTTGCCCAGGTACAGTGATAATGCACTGTGAAAAGCGTGTTAAATGTTTGTTCTCAGTTAAATTTGGAGAATTTGTAAACAAATGAAAATATCAAATAAAGTGTGGTTGTTTTAATGTTTTTAATTACTTGGATGTATGTATAAATTACTTGCCTATATCCATCTAGTTTCATTTTTTTAAATTAAGTTCTTAAACTCCAAAGAGTGTTTTTTCACAGAAATCTTACTTTTGGTTTGAAAGCACCTGTGACTAGCAGTCATGAAGGTGGTCTGTTTTTAGGTAGCGTAGAATAGACTGAGAGCTCACCTGTTTCTAGTAGGAGCCCCTAAGATGGCATTTTAAGTATTCCAAGTATTGTACAGCGATTTGCTTGCATTAGCACAATAATACATTAGACTAATCCATTAATCAAAATAGCTTAACTAATTATCACTACCCTTCATTTTTTAGGTCGTCTTTAAGTACGGGTTCAGTGTAGGAAGGGGTTTAGGATCCTCAATAAAGCAGCACCATTTTATAATTTTTTTATGAGAAAAGGGGAATATAGTAAGTACGTCAGTGTGCTGATGATGGTCTTTAAGATTGAAGGATTCCTGTTGTGATTTGAAGAAATACTTCAGCTGTTGGAGCTAGCATTTCAATGGAAAATAGTGAGTTATGTTCAGGAACTTCAGTAAAATGATACAACATACAAACCATTTATCAAAGTGTTCACAGTAGCCATAATTGGGAGCAAATTGTTTACAAAACATTCTAGTTAAAATAAGTGTAGAGATGGGTGTTTACACTTATGTATTGTAGAATTCTGTCTTTATTCACAGAGAATTTTTCTTTTCACTGTAAGACATTGCAGGATTTGAAGTGTTAAATTGCTTTTTCAGCTCTTTCCATGGCAAATAGTATGTCTTAGTTTAAAAGAACTTGTTAAGTCCTAGGTATTGAAATGTATACAGAATTATAATGTCACTTCATTAAGTCTCAGCGTTTGAAGGTGTAGTAAACTTATGCCTTTATGAAGGAAAAATAATGGAGAAAAATCAAACATAAATGGGTCCATTGACTGCACTGTAAGTCATGGATGAACTTCATGGAAGAGGAAAAGTATAAAGTATTAAAAATCAAAAAATGTAAGTTGTCACGGCCATATAATAACGGTGTGATTTTTAAGCCATGAAATACAATCTGTAAAACGTGTTCAGAGCTAAGATTAAAAATCAACCTGAACACACTTCTAAGGTCAATTGTTGTAAAGCTTTCAAGTATTCTAGCTGTATTCATGATGGAGCTGAAAGACTGCCCTCTGAAACTTTGTCTGTTGTCTGTAAAAACCTGCTTGCAAATAGAATATGTCAGTTTGAATTGGTACTACTATTACCTATAGTTTTTGACTGTATTAGTAATACTGCAGAGGTTGACAGTTGGCTTGCAGGAACATAGCACATTCATAAAGAAATGTTGCTGAAGTCATTTCCCCATTTTCTGTATTTGCACATTTAACATGATACAAACTTACTAGGAGTGTACTTTAGGTAAGGTTCCTGTTCCAGAGATCCTCAATATTCCTTGACTGTAATTTTTGAAGGGTTATCTTCTAACTTTAACATTAAAATGAGGTGAGGACATCTTTATATGTTTTCTTTTTTGTTTTGTTAGGTGGAGATCAGTCGAAGAGTGACTTTAGAAGAGCTCCCTCCTGTTCTTGTTTTGCACCTCAAACGATTTGTGTACGAGAAAACTGGTGGATGCCAGAAGCTGATTAAGAATATTGAGTACCCTGTTGACCTGGAAATTAGTAAAGGTGACTTTTTTTCAGTAGAACTTTGTTTTTGAGGGAAAGGGAATTTAATGGTTTCCAAGGGTTGATAACGGCTTTCTCCAAGCTTCCTATGAGACTTGATTTTTCTCTTCATGCTGATTTCTACACTTGCATTGATCTATTTATTAGTTAGGGAAAAACTTTATAAAGCATCTTCATTTGTACTTGTATCTTAAGATGCTTTGGCTTCACAAAGTACATGTATATAAGAGAGTGCGCATGTGTACTTTTATTTCTTATTTTTTGTCCAAAAAGCTATTCACACTATTCTGTTAATCAGTTCATATTGTCCTGTAGTATTATGCTCCCTGTAATGGTCTAATCATCTGATGCATTTACTTCAGCAGACTGTTTTTTGTTAATTGCTAAAACATATTACAGGGATTAACATTTACAGCCTGAAAGCTCTGGGTCATCAGGCCGGCCTTTTTGGCAAGCTGGCCACAAATTAGCTCCACTCTAATCCCTTGCCTGATCTGCCGCTGTGATCTCTGCTCCTTGCCCTGCCACCATGCTGCCTCCTCCCTTCCTGTGTCATTTCCAGTACTCATGCTGCAGGCTGGCAACCCCTACTCTGGGCTGCATTGGTCATGGAAAACAAGCAACTATTATATTCCCAGGCAGGTCTTTGAAATTCATAGGCTCACCCTCTTACCCACTGTCAACACGACTGCGAGACAACTTTCTCACTTCCCCTGTTTCTTGCAACTTTTTCCCCACTGTCTTTCAGTATTACTCTCGCAAATCTCCACAAATGTGAAGGCCCGTAGCCACAGAAATGTCTCCTGTGCCTTGTGCCAGCAGAGGGAGGTTTCACTCATTCTTTGAAGCTGATCTGAGAAGCTTTAATGGCGAAACTCTTCTAGCCTGTTTTAGAAATAAATGCTTTAGACCTATGTGGACACTAACCTTTTTAGCTTACTAAGTACTGCTTTTATTATTATTATTATTTTTTTTTTACAGAGCTATTATCTCCAGGTGTGAAAAGTAAGATTTTTAAAGGCCAAAGAACCTACCGGCTCTTTGCAGGTATTAAGCCGTTTGTCTTGTCATCCCCAAAATATTGCATTACAAATAGGAATTCAGGTTGTGTAAACTTGGGACTGTCTTCTGAATTGGATTATATCTTATGTGGACAGTAAATTCCAGCATAGAGTACCATATATAGATTGCTAAATTTTTCTGTTGTGTGATCACTTGACACGCTGTTTAAACTTCTGTCTAAAGTGATATATAATTGGACTTCTGTAGAAGATCTGCCCTGTAGACTATTTGTTTAGGCATTTGTTATAATAAAAGAATCCAGACAGAAAACCTGAGATTAAGATGTGTGTAGATAACTGACTACTCTGTTTTAGTAAAGGTCCTATTCAGTTTTCTCTGATTTTTTATTAGTTTAAGTATCAGTGCTTCTGTATGTATTTGTGGTCTGTTTTTTGTTGTTTAAGCAATGGGGTGATGCAAATTGTAAGATATAACTGTTGACTAATTGTCACTGGTAACATGCAGCTTCACTAGTAAATAAATCTTACATGGCCAAAAGCATGTCTACAATTTGAACAAAGCTGTGCATAGCATATTTCATACATACAGGTCAACTTGTGAAAAGTCTTATAAAATGTGGCTTTGATGTTGATTCTGTTGCATTATTTTGAATGCTCCTATATCAAAGTATAAATTCAGTGCATAGTGTGTTGTTTTTATTTTTTGACTATATTGTGAGTTCTGGGGAAAAGTTGTATTCATATACAAGCACAATAAGGATGTTCTTTTCTGCTTGTGCTGTTAAATGCTTATTACTTAAAAAAAAAAAAATTAGGCTATTTAATTGTAAATTTCTTCAGTAGTAAGGATTGGAAAAAGTTTTAAACATTCAGAAGGAGCATTTTAATGTTAAACAAGATTTGCACTTGCCCCAGCCAGATGGGTGGCTGGGGGCTGGAGCTTCTCACTAAGTCACCTGTTCTGTTCCATTTCTAGCGGCCTTATGTAATTTTAGGATTTGGATCTAGTTCTGGGACTAATTGGGTTATGGGGGGTGGTGGGCATTGTACCTCTCGAAGCACAGAGCAAGAAATACTTCAGCAAAACAAATCTGTCACCTCTGGGGTGCAGAGCATGAGTTGAAATGGTTTAATTAGCAGTACCTTTCATTGCTGTAAAAGGGTGTGCAACATTTCTGGTAAAGCAAACAAAACTCTGGCTTGCATCCATAGATGCTTTGCGGGTAAATCCCAGCATGTTATCTTCCTGCTGTACTTGGCCTTGGTGAGGGCACAGCTGGAGTACTGCATCCGATTCTGGGCTCCACAATTCAAGAAGGATGTGGAGAAGCTTCGGAGAGTGCAGAGGAGAGCTACGCGCATGATCAGAGGGCAAGAGAACAGGCCTTATGATGAGAGGCTGAGAGCCATGGGGCTCTTCAGCTTGGAAAAGCGCAGGCTCAGGGGGGAGCTGGTGGCAGCTTCTAAGTATGTAAGGTGTGTGCATCAGGATCTGGGGGAGCATCTGTTCACCAGAGCACCCCAAGGCAAAACTGTTGGGTCATAAACTCCTCTGTGACCATTTTAGGCTGGACATAAGGAAAAATGTCTTTCCTGTCTGAGCCTGTAAGGCCTGGAATAGACTGCCTCCAAAAGTGGTGCAGGCACCTACTCTGGACTCTTTCAAGAGATGGTTGGATGTTTATCTTGCTGGGATCCTTTGACCCTAGCTGACTTCTGGCCCCTAGGGCAGGGGGCTGGACTTGATGATCTTCAAGGTCCCTTCCAGCCCTAATGTCTATGAATTTCAGTCTGCAGTGTTGCCTTTCCAGCACTTTTCATGTGAACAATGTTAACTAATGAGATGAATTTTTACATATTAAAATTTGATGTTTTAGAATTAAATCATTTCTTTATAAAATTATCACCAGAGATTTTTCTGCTGAAGGACAATAATATATACGCTTGTATCTCAGGAAAATTTGTGATAGTATCCATTTTAAGAACTTTTGAAATACACCCAAGTTTAAAGGCAGCAGGCAAAGCCTAGCTGGTTTGCCTCACTTAAAGTATACTAACATATATTTGCTCTCATAGAAGTGCAAACCAAATCACTACTTAACATGCAGTTTTCTTCTTAAAGAGTTGACTATAAAAATGGCTCTCTCTATTTAGGAATACACTTTAATGACACAAAGGACATACATTTTTACTTTGTTTATTTTAACACTACAGAGCCCGTCACAGTTTATAGAATGAGCACAGTTTTGTTTCCTTTTGAACATTATTTTAATTGCATGCTAATATTCAGACACTTGCATCTGTGCGACTTCAGTAAAGAATCAAGGGCACCAGTGCTTTGTGAGAACAAAATGGTTTGTGCACAGAGAACTTGACCTGCTTCTCAGAACGCTTGCTGCACATGAGCATAGTATCAGTGGCACCGTGTTGAAATGGCTGGAGTGGCAGTTAACAGAACAGAGCTGTGCACTGAGCACATTTGATAAGGAAACTATTGAGAACTGAAATGTGAAACTTCCACAGAGCTCTTTTTATAGGAATAGTCTTCAGGTTAGAACTGGACTTAAAGCAAAACCAAAAATGGTTTCTTTTCATAGTGTCGTTATTATGTTTATAAGAGAAGTATTTTGAACAAAGCATTCTGGCTTTGCAGTGCTGCATGATGTCTTCTCTTTGTATGTAAAGACTGGAGGTTTTATGATAAGATATGGAGGAAGGTTGACTTTAGTATTTGGTATTGAACAGCTCGATGACTCAGAGTTTCTGTGTCAGTCAGTGCTTGCATTCAGACATGGATTTTCTAGTGGGAAGTTAAATCCTGCATTCTTTGTTTTGCAGTTGTGTATCATCATGGAAACAGCGCAACTGGTGGCCATTACACTACAGATGTCTTCCAAATTGGTCTTAATGGCTGGTTACGCATTGATGACCAGGCCGTTAAAGTGATAAATCAGTACCAGGTGGTGAAGCCGTCTGCTGAACGCACAGCCTACCTCCTGTACTATCGCCGAGTTGACCTGCTGTGAAACTTCCCTCTCTATGCTGCGTGTGCAAGATACCTGCTTTGTAGAACGCCAACTATCACTAACTTTTTTCCTCCTGTAAATGCTCTTTTGAGTGAATCCTTTTTTTTCCCCTTGCAACTATGGGATAAAGTGAAAAAGGAAACTACCTTGGGGTTTGTGCACAACATAGCTTGTGTGTTGACGTTTGACTTTATAGAATGAAGTCATTTGGTTGAAAGACTCAGTCTCGTGAATCACACAAAATAATTGAATTAAGGCTGAATCCTAAGATAAAAAAGGGGATTTGAATTCGATTCCCACCTTCTAATTGCGTAGTAGAAGAAAACCCTGCACCAGCAACAAAACTTGTAGATTTCTGTGAAAATAAGTTTTATCTTTACTTAAAGCACCCTTTGCTTCCCCAATAGTTTTTGATAAATGGTAACATGAGCCAGGGAGTATCAGGAGGAAATGGTCCTGTGTGCTTCAAAACAATGTATAAAAGTACCAAATGCAGAGTTGCTGGTTCCTAATAGGAAAACACATTTTAATAATTGTGCGATGAAACTGCTTAAGTACACATTGCAGATCAAATATTTGGAGTTAAGATGTTAGTCTATATAGATGGGTGATTGTAACTTTATTGCTATTAAGAGATTTCAAACTGCATTTATGCTTCTGTGTACATGAGATTTAAAAAAAATGGGCAAAATAATGAAGATATTTCTTTAAGTCTGCTTTGTTTAATTTTGCTGTCTGCTCTCCTATAATGTTGAGTTCCTAATTGTACACAGTTTAGTGATATCTAGGAGTATAAAGTTGTCGCCCATCAATAAAAGTCACAAAGTTGGTTTAAAGTTGTGTGTATGTTTGCTTGATCATGAGGATAAATTTCAACTTTGGGAACTCCAGTCTAAAATTACACATGGCGATTTGGAAAATGCAATGCAACACTCATGCACTGTGACATTTAGCACTTTGCAGAGTATAGTTGCAGGAAATTGTTTTTCTGTCCTGCAAAATGTTGAAGATTCAAACGTTTTTCCTGTTCCACATGGAGATGAAATGGACTTTTATCAGGTTTTTGTGGAGAAATCCTTTTTACCCCAAAACAGCCAGTAACCTTGTAGTTATGAGCAGTTCTCCAGGATGTGGAAAACCCAGGTCCAGCTCCTGTTCTGCAGGAGCAACAGCAGGGACTGGGTCTCTCAGTTTCAGATGTTCCATTCTGTGTAAATATTCACTTGATCAAAAAGAAGCTGGTTGTGTAGTCCTGTGATAAATCACTGGCCTTGGGTATGGTAGATCTACCTTCAAGTCCCTGGTGTTATTCAGGTATCTTAGAAACTCAAAGCTAGTTCTTCCATATGCCTGGTGAATGCTTAAAATTGGTTCCAGAGCAGATGCATTTTTGGTTTGCAGATGCATCTTTCTCTGATTTTGGCCAGAAAATTTCTATTAAACTTTGTCAACAAAATGGGGGGGGGAGGGAGAAAAAGATCCTGACTGGCTCTGAAGCTTGTAAGCCCTATTTTGAGACTTCAGTGCTGCCTCCTTCCTCCTTGGGGTTATGACACACAGTGACATGATGGTGACAGAAGCACATTTAAAATCCAGTTGGAAGCATTGATTCTTTTTTTTTTTTTCATTTTTTTTAAGGTAGCATCAGACCAATTCTGTCAAATCATGGGGGGAAAAAAAAAAGAAGAAAGAAAATCTGCATTTTATTTATAAACCTTAGATGCTTACATTCCAACAAATTCCCAGGACATTCTTTTTACTTTCTCTGGGATAGGTAGGGTTGCTGGTCTGCATGTTGAGAGCTTAGGCCTTAACGTGAGATCTGGTGTTTTTGTGTGGTAGCTTATGAGTTTTCTCCATAAAAGAGCAATAATTAAATGGCAGCTTGACTTTGAGGGATGCCTTCAGCATCTGCTTCAGAGGCAGCGTAGGAGTAGTTAGTTACAGTTGCATCATTCAGAATATCTCCTAGGGCCCAATCCAAAGGAGTGAATAATTTTTTCACTGATAGCTATCAGGCTCTGAGATCTATGAGGGCACTAAATTTCCAATTTCAGCTTTAAGAACTGTTAACACTTGCTGAGTTGATAGAGCTGTGATTTGAGATTTCAGCTGAGAGAACTGATCTTGAGTTGGAGAGGAAGTTGAAAAGAATTCAGTCCTGTGGATCTCCAGCAATACTGTACCTTTTTTTACGTAAAAAAAGACATTTCAAATACTAAATGTTTCATCCATTAGCTGCAGGTGTTTTACAAATCACTTGTTAGTCAAATGATTCAGTGTCATTAGAAGAGAATCTTATTTTAGATTATATAAAAGCAAGTAACGTCTATTCTATAACATTTTCCACAGTAGTAGGGATGTGAACCAATATGTTCGCCCTACCTGAAGGTCTGCATTTGGCTGGTCTGCACTTTGCATCTTGAGCTGTCAGCTATTTCTGTGTGGTGTTTCTTTGGTAGTGGGTATCTCCTGAAGCCAGAAATGGGGGCGGTATCTTCTGATCTTCATATACATCATGTGCATGATGAGTGCTTTGGATGCAAGTTAACATGGATATTCATTTGAGTTCATCCCTAAATTCCAGCAAAGGTTTGTCAAAATTGAAACGTGTGGTGAAGACAGTTTGTTTTCATAGACATTCCACCAGAAACTGTGTCACTTTCTATCAAAACCTTGCATTTTTTTCCTCCCTGAACAGTTTGTGTTATTGCTGGAGTGCCCAGGCTCCTGCCTCCTTGCTAGATAGACTGCCACAGAGCTTAGAGCTATTGGATAGCCTGCTGATGAGTTTGCTGCTTCAGTTTGCCATCAAGTAGACTTCTGGAGCTGTAGTGACAAGAGCTGGGCAAAGGATAGCAATTGTTTAAATTTTTAGAATTCAGTAGTAATCGCTGCAAATCAGAATGAAGCCAAATTTTGCAACCTCTCTGTGACATCAAATAATTATCCTCTACCTTGCTATAATGCTTATTATTAAAGTCCCAATTTATTACAACTAACATCTAGGTTTGTCAGACCAGTAATACATTTTCACAGTGGTAGAGCTGATTGTGCAAAAGAATGTTACAACGAGGGGCAAGAGACTAAAGTATTTAATGTCTGCTCCCAACAGCCGCAAGTAGTGGTCTTATCCAGGTAGCCATGGCTCTTTTAGTGACTCAGTTGTACACAGTCACCTCCCATTTAGCCACCTGCAAGGCTTGCAAAAATGTCTAATATTGAACATCTCCAGTTATCCAAACTACCAGACACTCCAGAAACCATTACTGAGATTTGCATGTTTTGTTGTAGCTGCAGGCAAACAAATGGTTTTATGCTTTTAATTGTTAATGGAATAGGCCAGAGCAGGGCAACATGAGCAACTTATGTACAGCGGTGCACCAGCTATTCTAGAAGTCTTGGCCTTGCATGTTTGTGGCATGGCTACAGCCAGAATTAGATCACCTCCATGCTCATAGCTATTGAGAAAACAGTGGTAACTGTCAAACACTTCTGAACATCTGGTCTCTCAGCCGCAAGTCCTGAGATTCCATGCAGCCGTTCCATTTTATATGCATCTTTGAGTTATAAAAACATGTTGGCTATAAAAGAAAAAAAATGTTGCCATGTGCGTCCTTGTAAATTGTCAGCATTCTTATGACTTCATTCATTTCTAGAGCCAATGCCCTAATCACTTTGTTTTTAAAATAAGTCATAGGCTTTGTAACCACTTTCCACCATTCCATCCCCCTCTGACCTCAAATTTAGAGAAAGTAGCACAACATCAATATAAATATGGCCTAATCTCAGTTTTCATTTGTTGTGCTTTATAAAACAGAACTTGTGTATACCTACTTTGGAAAATGCGCTTTAAATTTATACATTTCATAGACATTAGGGGCTGGAAGGGACCTTGTGAGATCGAGTCCAGCCCCCCTGCCAGAGGCAGGAAGTGTGCAGGGATCAGATGATCCCAGCAAGATAAAAACCTCCAAACGCCTTTTGAATGAGTCCAGAGTTGGTGCTTGCACCACCCCTGGGGGGACTCTGTTCCACACCTTGGACGCTTGGACTATAAAGAAGTTTTTCCTTGTATTGATACTGAATTCCTTGTATTGAGTAGAAATTTGTGCCCGTTAGGCCTAGTTATCCCTTAGGGAGCGCTGGTGAACAGCTGTTCTCCCAGATCCTGATGCACCCTCTTATATACTTATGGGCAGCCACCAAGACCCCCTGAGCCTTCTCTTCACCAGGCTCTCAAGAGTCCCATGTCCCTCAGCCTCTCCTCGTAAGGCTTGCTCTCTTGGGCCTTTGATCATGCAAGTGGCTCTTGTGTAGACTCTCTCAAGCTTATCCACATCCTTCCTGAAGTGGGGGACCTAAAACTGGACTCGGTACTCCAGCTGCAGCCTTGCTAAGGCCGAGTAAAGCAGCAGGGTGATGTCCCTGGTTTTGCTCAAGATGCATCAGTGGATGCCCACCAGAGTTTGGTTTGCTCTGCTGGCCATGGCATCGCACTGGGGGCTCGTGTTCATCTTGTGGTCAGTCAAGACCCCCAAGTCCCTTTTGGTCATGGTGCTAGCAAACGTAGCACCACCAAGCCTATATATAAGTATGATTCTGTTTTTTTCTCCCAAAGTGAAGTACCCTGCATTTCTCTATGCTGAAGGCCATCAGGTTTAGGTCCACCCACTTTGCAAGTGTGTCCAGTTTGGCCTGTATCCCCAGCCTGTCTCCAGCGTGACTGCCTTCCTCCATAGTTTAGCGTCATCCACAAACTTTACTAGTCTGCATCTGACACCCAAATCCAGGTCATTAATGAAGATATTGAAGAGTATTGGCCCAAGCACTGAGCCTTGGGGGACTCCTCTGGTAACCTTGAGTGTGGCCCCATTGATTTGTTCCCATCAGCTAGTACCCTTTAGGTCCAACCCCGGAGCCAGTTCCCCAGCCATTGGACCATGAGATGGTCGAGCCCGCAGTTCCCCAGCTTGCTTGTGAGGACATCATGGGACACCAAGTCAGAAGCCTTCTTGAAGTCTAGATAAATGACATCAACCTTGTCTCCCTTGTCCAGGCAATGTGTCACCTAGTCATAGAAGGAGATGAAGTTGATCAGGCAAGACCTTCTAGTAATAAAACCATGTTGGTTGGCATTCAGTAAGTTGCCTTCCATTAGCCTGTTGCAGATGGATCCCTTGATGATTTCCTCCAAGATCTTTCCAGGGATGGACATCAGACTGATAGGTTTGTAATTCCCTGGATCTTCTTTCTTCCCTTTCTTGAAGATTGGGACAACGTTAGCTCTTTTCCAGTCCTCCGGTACATCACACAAGTGCCACGAGCCTTCAGATATCTTGGCCATAGGGCATGCTATGATGTCTGCCAGCTCTTTTAAGACTCTTGGGTGTAATCCATCCAGCCCGCAGACTTACAGATATGTATTTTATATATTTTGGGCTGTTGTCCTTCATTGCCTAAGGTGCTTTGGGAAAAGCCTTGTTTTTGGAGAAATGCCTAGTTACTGAAGCATCTTTATATAGTCAGTGCACAGTGCTTCAATAACAGCAGAATTGTTTTTAAATGAATAGGCATTAAATATGTGTTTCTGGTATTCACTCCATATCTACATTGAGTTATGCAATAGCATTCCTGGTAAGCTGCACTTATTTGAACTTGGAGAACCCAAACTTCGGAGCAACCAGCTTTGGAAAAAAACCTCCCCAAACACTTGGTTGCTTTTATTCAGAGCTATTTATTACCTGGTTTTGTGACCTGCATTTCTCAGTCAGTATGGCTGACAAGATAAATGACATTTGTGGCTTCACCTTTAGCATTTCTTTTTCTCTTTTTG